GTTTACATACACCTTAGCCAAATACATTTAAACTCAGTTTTTCACAATTCCTGACAATTAATCCTAGTAAAGATTCCCTGTTTTAGGTCAGTTAGGATCATCACTTTATTTTAAGAATGTGAAATGTCTGAATAATAGTAGAGAGAATTATTTATTTCAGCTTTTATTTATTTCATCACATTCCCAGTGGGTCAGAAGTTTACATACACTCAATTAGTATTTGGTAGCATTGCCTTTAAATTGTTTAACTTGGGTCAAACGTTTCGGGTAGCCTTCCACAAGCTTCCCACAATAAGTTGGGTGAATTTTGGCCCATTCCTCCTGACAGAGCTGGTGTAACTGAGTCAAGTTTGTAGGCCTCCTTGCTCGCACACGCTTTTCAGGTCTGCCGACACATTTTCTATAGGATTGAGGTCAGGGCTTTGTGATGGCTACTCCAATACCTTGACTTTGTTGTCCTTAAGCCATTTTGCCACAGCTTTGGAAGTATGCTTGGGGTCATTGTTCATTTGGAAAACCCATTTGCGACCAAGCTTTAACTTCCTGACTGATGTCTTGAGATGTTGCTTCAATATAGCCACATAACTTTCCTTCCTCATGATGACATATATTTTGTGAAGCGCACCAGTCACTCCTGCAGCAAAGCACCCCCACAGCATGATGCTGCCACCCCTGTGCTTCACGGTTGGAATGGTGTTCTTCGGCTTGCAAGCAACTCCCTTTTTTTTCTACTATTATTCTGACATTTCACATTCTTAAAATAAAAAGTGGGGATCATAACTGACCTAAAACAGGGAATTTTTACATTAAATGTCAGGAATTGTGAAAAACAGAGTTTGAATGTATTTGGCTAAGGTGTATGTAAACTTCTGACTTCAACTGTATATCCCATTCCTCCTTCCTTTGCAAACTGTTGGAGCGAAGGCGCTGTGCACAATCTACAGCCAAACAATAACTTCTCTGAAAGACGTTCAAAACTTTCATGAAGTAAGACATGGTTACAATTTATTAAGGAGACTGTACAAAACTAGTTACAGTGGCTTGCGAAAGTATTCATCCCCCTTGACATTTTTCCTATTTTGTTGCCTTACAACCTGGAATTAAAAAATTGGTTTGTATCATTTCATTTACACACATGCCTACCACTTTGAAGATGCACTTTTTTTTTCTTGTGAAACAAACAAGAAATAAGACAAAAAAAGAGAACTTGAGCGTGCATAACTATTCACCCCCCCAAAGTCAATACTTTGTAGAGCCACCTTTTGCAGCAATTACAGCTGCAAGTCTCTTGGGGTATGTCTCTATAAGCTTGGCACATCTAGCCACTGGGATTTTTGCCCATTCTTCAAGGCAAAACTGCTCCAGCTCCTTCAAGTTGGATGGGTTCCGCTGGTGTACAGCAATCTTTAAGTCATACCACAGATTCTCAATTGGATTGAGGTCTGGGCTTTGACTAGGCCATTCCAATATATTTCAATGTTTCCCCTTAAACCACTCGAGTGTTGCTTTAGCAGTATGCTTAGGGTCATTGTCCTGCTGGAAGGTGAACCTCCGTCCCAGTCTCAAATCTCTGGAAGACTGAAACAGGTTTCCCTCAAGAATTTGTCTGTATTTAGCGCCATCCATCATTTGTTCAATTCTGACCAGTTTCCCTGCCGATGAAAAACATCTCCACAGCATGATGCTGCCACCACCATGCTTCACTGTGGGGATGGTGTTCTCGGGGTGATGAGAGGTGTTGGGTTTGCACCAGACATAGCGTTTTCCTTGATGGACAAAAAGCTCAATTTTAGTCTCATCTGACCAGAGTACCTTCTTCCATATGTTTGAGGAGTCTCCCACATGCCTTTTGGTGAACACCAAACGTGTTTGCTTATTTTATTCTTTAAGCAATGGCTTTTTTCTGGCCACTCTTCCGTAAAGCCCAGCTCTGTGGAGTGTACGGCTTAAAGTGGTCCTATGGACAGATACTCCAATCTCCGCTGTGGAGCTTTGCAGCTCCTTCAGGATTATATTTGGTCTCTTTGTTGCCTCTCTGATTAATGCCCTCCTTGCCTGGTCTGTGAGTTTTGGTGGGCGGCCCTCTCTTGGCAGGTTTGTTGTGGTGCCATATTCTTTCAATTTTTTAATAATGGATTTAATGGTGCTCCGTGGGATGTTAAACGTTTCTGATATTTTTTATAACCCAACCCTGATCTGTACTTCTCCACAACTTTGTCCCTGACCTGTTTGGAGAGCTCCTTGGTATTCATGGTGCTGCTTGCTTGGTGGTGCCCCTTGCTTAGTGGTGTTGCAGACTCTGGGGCCTTTCAGAACAGGTGTATATATACTGAGATCATGTGACAGATCATGTGACACTTAAATAAAGTCCACCTGTGTGCAATCTAACTAATTATGTGACTTCTGAAGGTAATTGGTTGCACCAGATCTTATTTAGGGGCTTCATAGCAAAGGGGGTGAATACATACAGTGGGGAAAAAAAGTATTTAGTCAGCCACCAATTGCGCAAGTTCTCCCACTTAAAAGATGAGAGAGGCCTGTAATTTTCATCATAGGTACACGTCAACTATGACAGACAAATTGAGGAAAAAAAATCCAGAAAATCACATTGTAGGATTTTTAATGAATTTATTTGCAAATTATGGTGGAAAATAAGTATTTGGTCACCTACAAACAAGCAAGATTTCTGGCTCTCACAGACCTGTAACTTCTTCTTTAAGAGGCTCCTCTGTCCTCCACTCGTTACCTGTATTAATGGCAACTGTTTGAACTTGTTATCAGTATAAAAGACACCTGTCCACAACCTCAAACAGTCACACTCCAAACTCCACTATGGCCAAGACCAAAGAGCTGTCAAAGGACACCAGAAACAAAATTGTAGACCTGCACCAGGCTGGGAAGACTGAATCTGCAATAGGTAAGCAGCTTGGTTTGAAGAAATCAACTGTGGGAGCAATTATTAGGAAATGGAAGACATACAAGACCACTGATAATCTCCCTCGATCTGGGGCTCCACGCAAGATCTCACCCCGTGGGGTCAAAATGATCACAAGAACGGTGAGCAAAAATCCCAGAACCACACGGGGGGACCTAGTGAATGACCTGCAGAGAGCTGGGACCAAAGTAACAAAGCCTACCATCAGTAACACACTACGCCGCCAGGGACTCAAATCCTGCAGTGCCAGACGTGTCCCCCTGCTTAAGCCAGTACATATCCAGGCCCGTCTGAAGTTTGCTAGAGTGCATTTGGATAATCCAGAAGAGGATTGAAAGAATGTCATATGGTCGGATGAAACCAAAATATAACTTTTTGGTAAAAACTCAACTCGTCGTGTTTGGAGGACAAAGAATGCTGAGTTGCATCCAAAGAACACCATACCTACTGTGAAGCATGGGGGTGGAAACATCATGGTTTGGGGCTGTTTTTCTGCAATTGGTGGCTGACTAAATACTTTTTTTCCCCACTGTATGCACGCACCACTTTTCCGTAATTTATTTTGTCAAATTTTTTGAAACAGGTTTTTTTTTTTTTTTTCACTTCACCAATTTGGACTATTTTGTGTATGTCCATTACATGAAATCCAAATAAAAATACATTTAAATTACAGGTTGTAATGCAACAAAATAGGAAAAACGCCAAGGGGGATGAATACTTTTGCAAGGCACTGTATATCCATTTAGGGGACCGCTTAGGCTTGAGAGCATCCCCAGTGTCAAAAGCGCTGTATATATATCATACTTGATCATTCATGCATCATACTTATTCAGCACATCAACATTCAATCATACTGTGTTAAATGCAAATGTAATGAAAGTCAAAAAGGATCACAGGGTACACGCTGTGACCTGGTGGTTTGGGTGTCACCCTGACAGCAGTGACATCAGATGCTCTCTGCAGTATAAAACCTTGGTGAGGAGGCAGTGTCATGTCATGTCAGAGACCCTTGTGTGTTAGCAGTCTTTCTCGCTCATCATGCGTGAAATTGTTCATCTACAGATTGGACAGTGTGGAAATCAGATAGGATCTAAGGTAAATGTACTCTTTAATATCGAAATGAGTTAAATGTGTTTTTATTCACTGAAGGGTTGATCAATTAACCGTTTTATATTCAAATGGATTAAATGTGTTTTTTTTAATTCACTTTAAGGTTGATCAATTAACTGTTTTTTATTCAAATTGATTAAATGTGTTTTTTATTTACTGAAGGGTTGATAAATACTATACATGCTTTAGCGCTATGCTTATCTTGCTTCCAAACACAGTATATATACTTCCACTGCAAATACAATATATATACTTCCACTGCAAATACAGTATATATACTTCCACTGCAAATACAGTATATACTTCCACTGTAAATACAATATATATATACTTCCAATAACTCTCATAACCCATTTGAACAGTGGTAAAGTATTATTTTATTTACATACAATGAGACTTATAAACTGTTACATTAGGGTATGTTACTTGATAATGTTTATGCCAGTCATATACTATTCACAAAGAGTAGCAAAGCACAGCATACCTATACATGTAAAACAATTGGCATTCTCTTGAGTAGAATCATACTTTTTTAATGTTTGAAATAGTGTATATTGAACAAGATAATGGGTGCTGGCACGTTGCCCACCGTGGCGGTTGTTGAGTGTGAGTGACAGGGTGTTCCCCAAGGGGCACTCTGCTCAGAGATAAGGAGGAAGTAGCAGAAGGCTGGCACATTGAGAGGGTGGGACATTTTTATCATGGCTGCTGCTGAGGACAAGCAAGATCAACCATATGACGTGTTAGATTCAGCTCCAGTTCACACCTCATCGTAATATGTGTGTATTGGGGCATCTGTCGGAGTCTGGGGTGTTATCATTAGGGCCTGAGTTCTTCCTGGCCTTTTGACCTGGTGAGTTTTTCCTGGTCCTGTGTTTTTCTTGGGCAGGTCACGCTCAAAATATACAACACGGATATATAGCTTTACTGTGTGTCTATGTCTTTACTGTCCATCATGTCTTTACAGTTTTGGGAGGTGATCAGCGAGGAGCATGGAATCAGTGCTACAGGAATGTATGAGGGGGAGGATCCTCTTCAGCTGGAGAGGCTCAATGTCTACTTCAACGAGGCAAATGGTAAGAGAAATGGATACATTATTGAAAAGAAAGAGAGTTCTTCAGTCCACGGGGCTATAAAGATATATTATCTTGGGCTGTATTGAATCAAAACCACTGACCAAATGCAAATCATCTATGACATGTTCATATGTTCTTCCAGGTGGTAAATATGTCCCCCGGGGCCTGCTCCTTGACCTAGAACCAGGGACCATGGACAGCGTCAGGGGCAGCCGCATAGGAGCTCTCTTCAGGCCGGATAACTTTATACATGGTGAGAGTAACGGTAGATCTAATCAAAGTTATTGATGACCGAAACGGTGGATCTAATCAAAGTTATTGATGACCGAAACGGTAGATCTAATCAAAGTTATTGATGACCGAAATGGTAGATCTAATCAAAGTTATTGATGACTGAAACGGTGGATCTAATCAAAGTTATTGATGACCGAAACGGTAGATCTAATCAAAGTTATTGATGACTGAAACGGTGGATCTAATCAAAGTTATTGATGACTGAAACGGTAGATCTAATCAAAGTTATTGATGATGATGGAAACTCAAAAGTGATACTCTTTTGACACTATTATAATATGCATACAGTTTTTTAAAGGGATATTTCGCTTTTTTACATTTAAAGTGGCACTCGTCTCCTTTTCACCTCATTTAATACCGGATTTATTTTACAAAAGGCACATCTCAATAGGTGGTCGAGGTAAGTCATGACATAGCACAAGTGCAGGTTCCTCTATTGTTCCTCAAGCAAGGGGGGAGGCCGATGACATCACAGATTCCCATCAGACCAACTCCTTGAATGCCCTACTACTTGAAGGTTGCAGTTGTGTCTAAAAAAACACACATTCTGCCAAAAAATATTTTTTACCATTTAGTGTGAGTATTGTACTGTATTTATATTTAGGATATCGCTTTTCTTGGGATATCGCAGTAAATGTTCAAAAATCGCTGGAGGACTTCTTTAAGCTTATTTACAATGTACTGATTTTGTACGTTTGCCCACTGACAAAGAAATGATCAGTCTATAATTTTAATGGTAGGTTTATTTGAACATTGAGAGACAGAATAACAAACAAAAAAATCCAGGAAAACACATGTCAATCATTTTATAAATTGATTTGCATTTTTATGAGGGAAATAAGTATTTGACCCCCTCTCAATCAGAAAGATTTGTCTTTTATACAGGTAACTCTTAAAGGGAGTGCTCCTAATCTCAGCTTGTTACCTGTATAAAAGACACCTGTCCACAGAAGCAATCAATCAATCAGATTCCAAACTCTCCACCATGGCCAAGACCAAAGAGCTCTCCAAGGATGTCAGGGACAAGATTGTAGACCTACACAAGGCTGGAATGGGCTACAAGACCATCGCCAAGCAGCTTGGTGAGAAGGTGACAACAGTTGGTGCGATTATTCGCAAATGGAAGAAACACAAAAGACCTGTCAATCTCCCTCGGCCTGGGGCTCCATGCAAGATCTCACCTCGTGGAGTTGCAATGATCATGAGAAGGGTGAGGAATCAGCCCAGAACTGCATGGGAGGATCTTGTCAATGATCTCAAGGCAGCTGGGACCATAGTCACCAAGAAAACAATTGGTAACACACTACGCCGTGAAGGACTGAAATCCTGCAGCGCCCGCAAGGTCCCCCTGCTCAAGAAAGCACATATACATGCCCGTCTGAAGTTTGCCAATGAACATCTGAATGATTCAGAGGAGAACTGGGTGAAAGTGTTGTGGTCAGATGAGACCAACATGGAGCTCTTTGGCATCAACTCAACTCGCCGTGTTTGGAGGAGGAGGAATGCTGCCTATGACCCCAAGAACACCATCCCCACCGTCAAACATGGAGGTGGAAACATTATGCTTTGGGGGTGTTTTTTTGCTAAGGGGACCTGACAACTTCACTGCATCAAAGGGATGATGGACAGGGCCATATACCGTCAAATCTTGGGTGAGAACCTCCTTCCCTCAGCCAGGGCATTGAAAATGGGTCGTGGATGGGTATTCCAGCATGAAAATGACCCAAAACACACGGCCAAGGCAACAAAGGAGTGCTTCAAGAAGAAGCACATTAAGGTCCTGTAGTGGTCTAGCCAGTCTCCAGACCTTAATCCCATAGAAAATCTGTGGAGGGAGCTGAAGGTTCGAGTTGCCAAACGTCAGCCTCGAAACTTTAATGACTTGGAGAAGATCTGCAAAGAGGAGTGGGACAAAATCCCTCCTGAGATGTGTACAAACCTGGTGGCCAACTACAAGAAACATCTGACCTCTGTGATTGCCAACAAGGGTTTTGCCACCAAGTACTAAGTCATGTTTTGCAGAGGGGTCAAATACTTATTTCCCTCATTAAAATGCAAATAAATTTATAACATTTTTGACATGCGTTTTTTTCTGGATTTTGTTGTTGTTATTCTGTCTCTCACTGTTCAAATAAACCTACCATTAAAACTATAGACTGATCATTTCTTTGTCAGTGGGCAAACATACAAAATCAGCAGGGGATCAAATACTTTTTTTCCCTCACTGTAAGTTAGTTGCACTAACATGATGTACAAAATTCTCTTTCTCTGTGTTTCTGTGGAATAGGAAACTCTGGTGCTGGGAACAACTGGGCCAAGGGCCACTATACAGAGGGGGCTGAGCTTGTGGACACCGTGATTGACAGGGTGCGTCAGGAGAGCGAGGGATGCGACTGCCTTCAGGGCTTCCAGTTCGTCCATTCCCTGGGTGGTGGGACGGGCTCCGGGATGGGCACCCTCATCATCAACAAGATCCGCGAGGAGTACCCCGACCGCATCATGACCAGCTTCAGTGTCATGCCCTCTCCCAAGGTGTCAGACGTCGTGGTGGAGCCTTACAACGCCACGCTGTCCATCCACCAGCTCCTAGAGAACACGGACGAGACCTTCTGCATTGACAACGAGGCTCTCTACGACATCTGCTTCCGTACATTGAAGCTCACCACCCCGACCTACGGTGACCTGAACCACCTGGTGTGTATGACCATGAGCGGGGTCACGACCTCCCTGAGGTTCCCCGGCCAACTTAATGCCGACTTGAGGAAGTTAGCTGTCAACATGGTGCCCTTTCCCCGTCTCCACTTCTTCATGTCGGGCTTTGCACCGCTCACAGCTCGCGGCAGCCAGAAGTACCGCACCCTCTCTGTGCCCGAGCTCACCCAGCAGATGTTTGATGCCCGTAATATGATGACCGCCTGCGATCCCCGAAGAGGGCGCTATCTGACTGTGGCTGGGATGTTCCGTGGCAAGATGTCCACCAAGGAAGTGGACGAGCAGATGCTGATGATGCAACAGAGGAACAGCAACTACTTTGTGGACTGGATCCCTCACAACTGTAAAGTAGCCGTATGTGACATCCCACCTCGGGGGCTCACAATGGCTTCCACCTTCATTGGCAACAACACGGCCATTCAGGAGATCTTTCGTCGCGTGGGAGACCAGTTCTCGCTCATGTTCAGGCGCAAGGCCTTCCTGCACTGGTACACTGGGGAGGGCATGGACGAGATGGAGTTCACCGAGGCAGAGAACAACCTGAATGACCTGGTGTCAGAGTACCAGCAGTACCAGGATGCCACGGCTGACGTGGAGGGGTGGGGGCCCGAGGAGGTGGCTGGGGAAGAGTCGGCGTCACCGGCTGCAACGAGAGTTCAGAGTACGGAAGTTACGACGATGGAGACTGTGACAGAGACTCTTGAAACCATTGAGACTATAGCTGAGTAGATGTGGCATCATATGTTGTGTGGAAGAATCATGTTGTCACCGTTTTCTCGGTTCTGACCAGGCTGTGTCTGGAAGCTTCAACAACAGTTTTTTCCTGATAGTTTATAAGAAGGGCCCAGGGTTTTCCAGGTCAGGTCATGAGGTCAGGAAAAACTGATGGCCCTACTCTAGTATATGAGTCATAGTGTTCAAAGGAGATATCAGGATAATTGCCTGTTTAATGAAATGTACAGTGTAGTAGTAGAGAGCTGTAATGCAGTGTCAATTGTCCGCAGTTGTATACTGACGTAGGCCTATTTTATGTTTTTTTTATGAAACTGAATAGATCAGGAAAGAATCTGTCTTACAAATATAGATAACAAATTCTGTCAATGTTGTAATGTAGACTACCAGATTTCCCAAGCTTGATTGAGATCATATGCAAAAAAAACAAAGCTGTATTTAAAAAGGGGAGTTCACCATATTAATGTGCTCTTTGCTAATTATTGGGCGCCTCAGCAATTTTAGCAATGTACGAAAACCAGATGCAGTGTGATATTGTGAACAATTTTTATTATATTATTAAAAAATACTTTGTGTGTTTATTTTGTGTGGTTCTTCAAGTTCAAGCATTATTGTCAATGAACAATGTCATAGGTCTGGTTATAAAGCCCAATAATGCTCCAACAACATACAGTAGCTCCAGCTCAGTCAGTGGGTACACTTGGCACATACTTCCCTCCCACTCCTCCCATCTGACAGAGAGAGATTACTAGTAACTGTCTCTGTCCAGTTTGATAAGACCATTCAACATGGCAGCAGAATGCCCCCTTTTGTACAGTCATAATATGCTCAGATCAGGCCTAAAGACCCATAAACTGTGGCACCTGAAGACAGAGACTAAGCTATGGACTAAAGGCCATGTAGCCTATATGGGAATGTAGGTTAGAAGGAGATTATATAATCCATAATCCTTACAAGAGGATAATTAAGTAGCATTCAGTCATCTCTGCAATAGCTCTATACTCGGAGGAGATGTTTAACCAATCAAAAGGTTGGGCAATGATCACCTCCAAGACCGTATTTATTCAGGATCAAGGTTGGACCCGCTCTACGTGATGAGTTACATAACCTCACTGAAGGGGATAAATATAAACACTGCCCAGTTGTTTTCACAGGCCAAATACTGTGATCCTATGTGGAAGGTGTAATAGTGATAGGCTAGAGCTCGTGTCAAACACATTCCACGGAGGGCCGAGTGTCTGCGTGTTTTCGCTCCTCCCTTGTACTTGATCGATGAATTAAGGTCACTAATTAGTAAATAACTCCCCATCACCTGGTTGTCTAGGTCTTAATTGAAAGGGAAAACCAAAAACCCGCTGACACTAGGCCCTCCATGGAATGAGTTTGACACCCCTGGGCTAGAGGATAGAGATTCTATTTAGGAGAGAAAGCAAATCATTGTTGAAAACATTACTATTAATATGTGTTTTATAGTTGTAATTATTCAATGAATAAAAATGGATTCAACAGTAAGTCTACCTCATAGGTAGCTATTCAGATTTGCATTTGGTATAACGAACATACACACGCCAATATGCCAATTATATAATATAACTTGTGCCTGCCAGAGGAAGAACGTCCTCTCTATTAGGCGCGTGGTTTTTTTTCCTCTATGTCATTGCGTTGTCAATCAACGCTGGGGAATGCGGCGGAAGTGCGCCACACAACTTTATGTCCCATGACTGCGCGTCGTAGGTGGGAGGGGATTTGCGCTGGGTCTTTTCTGAATGCGGGCGGCTTTCCCAACAGTGTGACTGCAATCACAGGCTGATTCACTCCTAAACTCACCATCTCACCGACCATGAAGATCTGGACATCGGAACACATTTTCAAGTGAGTAGCCAGCTTTCTATCTATTCATTGATTTGTGTGTGTTGTTTCGCGTAGTATCGGGTTTGGCTTGAATTAACTGACTGAACTCAACTTCACGATATATAACTTGCATCCCATGCGGAGTTGCGTTTAGTCAGCAAACGTCAGCTAGCTGGTTCGTGTTTTTCTTTTCAATGACTGTGAGAATCCTGACCATTGCAGTTTGTATCAGTTGAACAGCATCTGATATTTAAATCAACAGCTTCTAGCGGTCAGTGTCAGGTTGCAGTGAAATTGCGTAACCAGTTAGCTCGTAGTAGCAACGGCAACCTTTCCCCTACTTCTTGACGCGCCTCCGAGATGCGTCACACCGCAACCACATGGTTTATGTCTCCTCCATGGCAACCTAGATTCTTCATCGAGAAAGAATCAATCCGTGGATACATTTTGGCGATTACAAGTCAAATCACCAGTTTTTAAAAAACGATGACGCTCAGTTACTATGTAGACAGCTGAATTAAACCAGTGAGGATTTAGACTTACATGTCTGTTCTCAGAACATGATGTCCTGTCCTGCTCACTATAATAATGAACTCTTAGAGGCTGTTGCATATAAATGGATGATAATGTTCTAAGTGTCATAGCGCTAAACGGCACCTGTTTCTTCCACACAAGTGTGTAAATATACATATTGTCATGAATTGCACTTGTAATTTCAACTTCAATGTTTTATTGTGTGTATTGTATTATCCATGTATTTCAGTGGCTGACTGCCATGTGGATATCAGCAAAAACTTGAACTTGTGTAAATAAATTGCATGCTGATAAACTCCTCCTCCCCTTCACAGCCATCCTTGGGAGACTGTCACCAAGGCTGCTATGCAGAAGTACCCCAACCCCATGAACCCCAGTGTGTTTGGGGTGGATGTGTTGGACCGTAGCGTGGACACGCGGGGACGCCTGCACAGCAACAGACTGCTCAGCGCTGAGTGGGGCCTGCCCTCCATCGTCAAATCAGTAAGTGTTTTTTTTTTTTTTTTCTTTCAGTAGAAATACAAAACGTAGGCCTATTAGAGGTTCTATATATGTCTGGACGAAAGACAGGATCTATCACAGTAGATTCTACTTTAGCAACATAGTAGTAAGCAGTGAGCGTCATACTAGCCTTTTCGTTCAGTGTTGGGCATTTTCTGTGCAATAGCCATAGAAATAGAAAATTAAATGTTTGTCATGCAAATGCTTCATAAAATGAAAGTACTGCTAGACAGTTTCTTCGACTGGACAACAAACTGCTGTTTCAAACCTTTCAACTGCTGTGTCACAAACAAAACAAAAGTGGGGTGTCATGGTTTGAGACTCCTCCTGGTAGACTTCTCCTCTAGTAGCCTCAGTCAGTGTTATTTGAGTTCATAGCCTCACAGCCATAGATCTCAGTTACACATTCTCACACTCTCTGCTTCTTCCATTATGCAGTACTTGACCTTACCCCATTGGCCCCCAGTACTCCCAGCCGTAGGGTGCTATTCCTGGGTGGGGGGGGGGGGGGGGTAAGAGCAATAGGCACTGCCCGTGGCACGAGACTGTATTGCTCTACGTCTGGCACATACTGTCCTGAACAAGCTGGTGCCATTCCTGTTCCTAGTGTCCTGGCAGTACAGAGCTACCCCTATAAAACATAATCCTGTCTGCTCGGTACAGAACTGTCCCTATAAAACACAACCCTCTTATCGTTGATGTAACAGGCATACCTCTAACTATGCTGCCAGGGGCCTACTCAGAGGTTGCTTTGAATGGTTTCCAGTCTCATCACGATGTTCTTGTCTGGGGTAGCTATTAAACACTGTCCGTAATTAGTTTGCTCTTTGCTGCACATGCAAATTGCCACGATTACAGTTATGACTATGAAGGCATGCAAATTGCCACGATTACAGTTATGACTATAAAGGCATTGTAAAAGATTCAGTGATTAGATTAATTTAATCTTGATTTATTGACAGTATTAAATGACAGTTCATACATCTCATTCCTCCGTTTTTTGAATAATCTTCCTATTATTCATCCTTTTGAAATGAGGTCATCTCCAGAGCTCTGTTCTGACCCATAGTCCAGTTGTATGGAAGCATTAACCACTGTCCTTTCATCTCAGAACCAGGGCTGTCGCGAGAGACTACTCAACTCTGCCTTTGGTTTAGCTCCTGGGAGGGAAGGTCGGCAGACTGCTACTAATATCACGGCTAAGTCCTTTGACAGTCTTGCTCCTCCACCGACCAAATCATGGACGGGACACAGTCTCCTGGGCTCCGATTCAAAAAGCTTCTCAGAGTAGGATTGCTGCTCTAGGATCAGGTTCCCCTTGTCCATGTAAATCTAATTTTATTATGATCTGAAAGGGAAAAGTGATACTAGACGAAGCACTACTGCTCAGACGTTTGGTGACCACCGTGCCCTGATCTACACAATTGCTATCAATATCACTGCTAAGTCCTTTTTTTTAAAAGTCTAGCACAAAAACCGTCCAAAATCACTGACGGGGCATAGATGTCGTCGGGTAATCTCTGAGACTGCCAATAAACTGAGACAGCAAATATGACCTTCAGAAAAGAACAAGATTATAAGTGAGTGGACGGTTAAATTAACACCCTTTGAACTTGTGAAGGTTCCCTGTTGGAGTGAAGGAGGCCAAGTCTACAGTAGATTACAGAGAAACCAGATTAACCAATCTGTTAGATCCAGCACTGTCTGACCTGTCCATAGACGTGTCCCATATACCTAGCTAGTACACAAAGGAAACTGTCTGATACATGTGTTGAGTTCAGTACAGTATGAATACTGTGTCTTGGGGACACTCTGTACTCCGTCAGGACATTTGAATGACACTAAACAGGCCGGGCCTGGTGCTTTGATCATGTGGGTTCTATTGTATTGTTTCTCTCTCCAGATCATTGGCAGAACACAGACGTGCACGTACATCCAGGAGCATTCTGTAGTGGACCCCGTTGAAAGGACATTCGAGCTTCAATCTTCAAATGTGAGTTCTGAAACGTTTTATGATTTCAGCATAATGTTGTATATAATACATGTTGACATTGAGACATACACCGAGTGTACTAAACATTAAGAGTACCTGCTCTTTCCATGACACAGACTGACCAGATGAATCCAGGTGAAAGCTATGACCCCTTATTGATGTCACTTGTTAAATCCACTTCAATCAGTGTAGATGGAGGAGACAGGTTGAAGAAGGATTTTTAAGCCTTGAGACATGGATTGTGTATGTGTGCCATTCAGAGGGTGAATGGGCAAGGCAAAATATTTAAATGCCTTTGAACGTGGTATGGTAGTAGGTGCCAGGCGCACCGGTTTGTGTCAAGAACTGCTACACTGCTGAGTTTTTCCCGCTCAGCACTTTCCCGTGTGTATCGAGAATAGTCCACTACCCAAAGGACATCCTGCCAACTTGACACAACTGGTAAAAATTGGAGTCAACATGGGCCAGCATCCCTGTGGGATGCTTTGTTCATGTGTCGACGAATTGAGGCTGTTCTGATGTCTCCATAACCTCAGGAAGTAGAGGGCATTCTGCTGCCATGTCTCCCTGTCTCCATTACCTCAGGAAGTAGAGGGCATTCTGCTGCCATGTCTCCCTGTCTCCATAACCTCAGGAAGTAGAGGGCATTCTGCTGCCATGTCTCCCTGTCTCCATAACCTCAGGAAGTAGAGGGCATTCTGCTGCCATGTCTCCCTGTCTCCATGACCTCAGGAAGTAGAGGGCATTCTGCTGCCATGTCTCCCTGTCTCCATAACCTCAGGAAGTAGAGGGCATTCTGCTGCCATGTCTCCATAACCTCAGGAAGTAGAGGGCATTCTGCTGCCATGTCTCCCTGTCTCCATAACCTCAGGAAGTAGAGGGCATTCTGCTGCCATGTCTCCATAACCTCAGGAAGTAGAGGGCATTCTGCTGCCATGTCTCCATAACCTCAGGAAGTAGAGGGCATTCTGCTGCCATGTCTCCCTGTCTCCATAACCTCAGGAAGTAGAGGGCATTCTGCTGCCATGTCTCCATAGCCTCAGGAAGTAGAGGGCATTCTGCTGCCATGTCTCCATAGCCTCAGGAAGTAGAGGGCATTCTGCTGCCATGTCTCCATAACCTCAGGAAGTAGAGGGCATTCTGCTGCCATGTCTCCCTGTCTCCATAGCCTCAGGAAGTAGAGGGCATTCTGCTGCCATGTCTCCCTGTCTCCATAGCCTCAGGAAGTAGAGGGCATTCTGCTGCCATGTCTCCATAGCCTCAGGAAGTAGAGGGTATTCTGCTGCCATGTCTCCATAGCCTCAGGAAGTAGAGGGCATTCTGCTGCCATGTCTCCATAGCCTCAGGAAGTAGAGGGTATTCTGCTGCCATGTCTCAATAGCCTCAGGAAGTAGAGGGCATTCTGCTGCCATGTCTCCCTGTCTCCATAGCCTCAGGAAGTAGAGGGCATTCTGCTGCCATGTCTCAATAGCCTCAGGAAGTAGAGGGCATTCTGCTGCCATGTCTCCCTGTCTCCATAACCTCAGGAAGTAGAGGGCATTCTGCTGCCATGTCTCCCTGTCTCCATAACCTCAGGAAGTAGAGGGCATTCCATTCTCTGCCATGTCTCCATAGCCTCAGGAAGTAGAGGGCATTCTGCTGCCATGTCTCCATAGCCTCAGGAAGTAGAGGGTATTCTGCTGCCATGTCTCCATAACCTCGGGAAGTAGAGGGCATTCTGCTGCCATGTCTCCCTGTCTCCATAACCTCAGGAAGTAGAGGGCATTCTGCTGCCATGTCTCCATAACCTCGGGAAGTAAAGGGCATTCTGCTGCCATGTCTCCCTGTCTCCATAACCTCAGGAAGTAGAGGGCATTCTGCTGCCATGTCTCCATAGCCTCAGGAAGTAGAGGGTATTCTGCTGCCATGTCTCCATAACCTCAGGAAGTAGAGGAAATTCTGCTGCCATGTCTCGCTGTCTCCATAACCTCAGGAAGTAGAGGGCATTCTGCTGCCATGTCTCCCTGTCTCCATAGCCTCAGGAAGTAGAGGGCATTCTGCTGCCATGTCTCCATAACCTCAGGAAGTAGAGGGCATTCTGCTGCCATGTCTCCCTGTCTCCATAGCCTCAGGAAGTAGAGGGCATTCTGCTGCCATGTCTCCATAGCCTCAGGAAGTAGAGGGCATTCTGCTGCCATGTCTCCCTGTCTCCATGACCTCAGGAAGTAGAGGGCATTCTGCTGCCATGTCTCCATAGCCTCAGGAAGTAGAGGGCATTCTGCTGCCATGTCTCCATAACCTCAGGAAGTAGAGGGCATTCTGCTGCCATGTCTCCATAACCTCAGGAAGTAGAGGGCATTCTGCTGCCATGTCTCCATAACCTCAGGAAGTAGAGGGCATTCTGCTGCCATGTCTCCATAACCTCAGGAAGTAGAGGGCATTCTGCTGCCATGTCTCCATAGCCTCAGGAAGTAGAGGGCATTCTGCTGCCATGTCTCCATAACCTCAGGAAGTAGAGGGCATTCTGCTGCCATGTCTCCATAACTTCAGGAAGTAGAGGGCATTCTGCTGCCATGTCTCCCTGTCTCCATAGCCTCAGGAAGTAGAGGGCATTCTGCTGCCATGTCTCCCTGTCTCCATAGCCTCAGGAAGTAGAGGGCATTCTGCTGCCATGTCTCCCTGTCTCCATAACCTCAGGAAGTAGAGGGCATTCTGCTGCCATGTCTCCCTGTCTCCATAGCCTCAAGAAGTACATTTACATTTTAGTCATTTAGCAAACGCTCTTATCCAGAGTGACTTACAGTTAGTGAGTGCGTACATTTTTCATACAGGCCCCCCGTGGGAATCGAACCCACAATCCTGGCGTTGCAAGCGCCATGCTCTACCAACTGAGCTACAGGAGGCATTCTGCTGCCATGTCTACCTGTCTCCATGGCCTCAGGAAGTATGGGTGCTGAGGGTGCTGCAGCACCGTCCGAAAAATCGGAATAAAAAAAAAATTAATTAATTTAAAAGATATAGATTTTTAGAAACAAATATTTTTTCACAAAAGTAGTGCACATATAAAGTGGGCAAATAGTATGTAAACATTAAAGTTACCAGTCTTCAATGACTATGTACATAGAGCAGCAGTCTCTAAGGTTCAGGGCAGGCTACTGGGTCGAGGCCGGCTAGTGGTGACTGTTTTAACAGTCTGATGGCCTCGATAGAAGCTGTTTCTCAGTCTCTCGGCCTCAGGGGGGTGCAACTCAATATTAGGAAGGTGTTCTTAATGTTTTGTACACTCAGTGTTTATCTGTTTCATAGGTGACATGTTGTAGACCTATAGCCTAGCTGTTCCATTAGAATATATATATATATTTTAAAAAATTTACCAGACCTGTAACCATTTACAAAACATGCTCTGTTTTGAAGAATCTGAAACTCTGGAAGCTGTCTTGATCTAATTTCCAATAGCAGATGAGTGTGTCTCAGAACTGAGGAACCCTTAATGCAATGAGTCAAGTGGTAAAACATTTCTGGAAGGAGGTTTACCTTGTTCTATACTAACCAAAAATATAAAAGAAACATGCAACAATTTCAATGATTTTACTGAGTTACAGTTCAGATAAGGAAATTAGTCAATTGAAATAAATAAATTAGGCCCAAATCTATGGATTTCAAATGACTGGGCAGGTGTGGCCTACCCACTGGGGAGCCAGGCCCAGCCAATCAGAATGAGTTCTTCCCCACAAAAGGGCTTTATTACAGACAGAAATACTCAGCTGGTCTGACGATCCCGCAGGTGAAGAAGACTGATGTGGAGGTCCTGGGCTGGCGTGGTTACACATGGTCTGCGGTTGTGAAGCCGGTTGGATATACTGCCAAATTCTCTAAAACGACGCTGGAGGTGGCTTATGGTAGAGAAATGAACATTCAATTCTCTGACAACAGCTCTGGTGGACATTCCTGCAGTTAGCATACCAATTGCATGCTTGCTCAACTTGAGACATCTTTGGCATTGTGTTGTGTGACCAAAACAGCACATTTTAGTGGCCTTTTATTGTCCCCAGCACAAGGTGCACCTGTGTAATGATCATGCTGTTTAATCAGCTTCTTAATATGCCACATCTGTCAGGTGGATGGATTATCTTGGCAAAGGAGAAATGCTCACTAACAGGGATGTAAACACATTTGTGCACAGAATTTGAGAGAAATAAGCTTTTTTTGCATATGGAAAATGACTGATATTTTATTTCAGCTCATATTTTTGTTCAGTATAGTTCACAGTAATTTAGTGTAAATGTGTATATTACATTGAACCCTGAACATGTCTAATGCTGTCTGCCTTTATGATTATCTCTCTCTGCAGATCACATTCACTAACATGGTGTCAGTGGATGAGAAGCTTACATACAGACCACACCCTGATGACCCAGAGAAGTAAGTACAGTCAGACAAGTAAGGCTTTACTAACTTTGTGCCATGTTTACAGTGTATCGGGCTACTTGAAATGGGAGATGTCAAACTCAGTGTGACTTCCCTGGTTAAATGAAGGATAAATGCATTACATAAATATATTTTAATATCTAATTCTCCACTCTTGTCTGTGCAGGACGATATTGACCCAAGAAGCTCTCATCTCAGTCAAAGGGGTCAGTCTGAGTAGCTACCTTGAGGGAGTTTTGGCTAGCACCATCTCTGCAAACGCAGGCAAGGTACGTGATCTCGGTCTACTCCTCACCTACCCAGATGGCTGGTTAGAGAAACACTTGTATCTGCATGTAGTTTGAAAAACGAATTGTATGATGTCCATGATAGCTTGGTCTCAGATCTCTTTGCACTGTATAGCCTACACCTATGCTCATGTTTGGCATGAAAACTACCATAGACGCTATACAACACAACCAGATCCGGCACCAGGCTATGTCCTTTAGAACTCCGAGATCATTTATACCGTTATTTTTTATTTATTTATTTTTTTCCCCTTCTAATTTGACTCCTCTCCTCTTCCTCCATCAGGGTCGTGAGGCGATGGAGTGGGTGATCAGGAAGCTAAATGCAGAGATCGAAGAGTTGGCAGCTGCAGCCCGCGGCACCATGAGGACGCCCATGGCTGCTGCTATGACTGCAGAGAAATGATACATCCTCCACCCTCTGCATTCCCAGTCTGGGGACATTGTTCTTCTGTGCCAGAACAGACTCCACCTCCCGTTGTGCTGCTCTGATTCTCATTAACTGGCCAGCCAGGCATCACATCTCCAAGTTTGATTACAATTCAAGTACTGTATTTATTATTAATATTTATTATTATTATTTAAGTACTAACTGAAATGAAGGGAACAACGGTAATCCTAATATATCTATTTTTGAAAATTTTTATAGAAAAAATAAACTCCTAGAGGACCATCTCAAATGCAGTGTCTGTTGGAGTAGAATCTAAATATGCTCAGTTGCTCTGTGCCCAAGATGGAGACTAGAGCAGGGTCATGCTATGTTATGCCATTATTATTAGAATGCACTAGTACTAGGTAATAGCCTCAGGGACAGTGTAAAATATAGAGGACGGTTCAGAGAGTAACAACTTGGTTCTGTACCGAACTTGATGGACAGTGCTAGCCTGGTCCCAGAGTTGGCAAGAGAGCACAAACAGATCTGGGACCAGGCTAAGACCGCAGCAGAGGTTATTGAATAATAAATCCTGGGTGACCTGTCCCTTTTAACAGACAGAACAAGAACAGTTTCAACATGCTGCATTTGAGGCTGTTTTCCTGCGGAAAGTTGCACCTAAATTTAAGAATGGTAAGGCGTGGTCTGGGTTTTTCATACTGTTATCATTTTACAGTGACATTTGAGTGAAATCATTGACACGGGGGAGTGAAATGTAACTTTGGGAAGAATTAACAGATAAGAAACATATGGTTGCATGAGTCCTCACTGAATGTTTCCAATGTTCTTGGGTGCCTCAGAAGTTTGACCCTCTGCCAGCACAACATGTCTGTGTTCGCAGAGTATTATGGCCCCAACAATGAATGCATTTTCTAATGCACATACTGTACAGAAGAGATGGGTTGTGCTCTGGCTCCTCCTGTAATGTTCTGCATTCTCTCCCAAGAGTCCAAATATTTAAATAATATAAAATAACTGTTTTGGCTAAATGTGCCATACTGCTATAGCCTCAGTATGTTATGGAAATGTCTGCTATGTTTGACGTATGGAGAGAATATTTATTTTATTTATATAGAGGGATGAATGTGTTTTAATTTGGTTGTAACCAATGGTACTTATTGTCAGTGTTACTTACTGACTGGGATGTCAAGTATATATTCTAGATCATAACGATGTTGAGGCGATCAAATACCTCTGCTACCAACTGTCTAAGGGCCTGTTTCCCGTACGCAGATCAAGTTTAGCACTGGACTATTGAAATAGCTTTTTAATCCAGGACTAGGCGTAATCTGGGCAAACCGGCCCATAATGTTTTGTCTTGGGTCTATGGTGAAAACTTGTGTTGTCGAGGGAGATACGTCAAGGAAAGAATGATGCTACATGTGATGTATGCATTCCAAAAACCATGCCAGTTTGCATTGTCAATACAAACGGTTTATTTTCCGTTGCCAGAGCCAAAGTTCTAATATGCTTTAAAGTGGTAATGTCAAATAGTCTAGGTTGGTTATTTGTCAATGAATGTTCTGTTCTGACATTACCTGATGTGAGAATGAAGGGACATGTTGATCGTTATAACGTTCAGATGTGTAAGGAGTAATTTGTGGGTGTTTTTAACCCATATTTAGAATAAAATGACAACTTAACTCTACACCTGCACAACAATACAACTTAGTTGGTGCTGAAGTGATAATGGATTGAAATGATTCTGTAAACTCAAGTTCCAAACAGAAATGAAGACCAGGCGTGTTGGTTTACATGAAAAAAAATAAAGTCCTCTGAAATATGTGTTTTGCTTTTACATTATTGTTACATACAGTATTGCTCTATTTTGACAGAGATTTGTGGAATAGGGTTTTATGGCAAAGCTGTCTGCACTTTTCCTTGACCTGTGTATTTAGAGCAAGCTCTTTGCCTGCATTTCCATTTTTATTATTGAGGTTGAGATGCCGGCAGAAGATGCCCTACAATAGATCTAGGATCAGATTACCCAACGTCAGAATCCTAACCTTGAGATAATTTATGTTATTTTCTAAATTGCAAAATGTGGTTAGTAACTCAAATACGGTTTTCTATCGCCCCCTTGTGTACTAAAGGTCAAGTCTAGATGGGATATAGCTTTGTTCCAAATAATGTCCGATGTTTTTTGTTGCATTTTAGCTAACCCTAACCCTTTTTCTAACCTTAACCTACTCCTAATAACCTGCTGCGTTAATTGTCCTAACCTGCGTAAATGCTAACCAGCATCTACGAAAAGTACATTTAAGACAAAAGCTGTATCCCTTCTAGACAGCATGTGGGACATTTGGGCTAGAGTTGTAATGAGGGAAGATGGCGGAAACAGATGTTCTGTTCGAAACTGATAGTGAAGATGAGTGAGTACGAGTGGGCTGCAGTCGTGAAACAAAATAAGTAAAGTTGTGATGTAAACTAAGAAATCCCTTGGTTCATCTATAGTCGGAGTGTGGGATTTGGATCAATGTTATCGCTTGTAACGCCAGGGTAGTGGGTCCGATCCCCGGGACCACCCATACGTAAAAATGTATGCACACATGACTGTAAGTCGCTTTGGATAAAAGCGTCTGCTAAATGGCATATTATTATTATTATTATTATTATCTGGGTGATCGGTTCGAAGTCACGAAGAGTATCATGGAGGCGTTGGGTGAGGTGGCGTCTGTGAGAGTCACAGCAGCTGGTCTTATTCAGATTTGTTTGTGTGTCCGCGGAACAGAAGAAGCGTGCTTTGCACTTCAAAAATATATTTGAATGGAATGTTTTTTATATGGATTTCCGAAGCAGGGCACCTGTCAAGGGGGTTATTTCTGGGGTTGCGCATGAAGTGGATGAAGTCATTGGTGCACGTCGACTGACCTATATGGTTGATGGAGTAAGGAAACCCACTTAATTGTTTTTTAACGAGCCCTCCCTTCTCATGTGAAGATAGGCTTTATGAGATACCCTGTAAGAGCTTTTGTGCGCAAGCCCCTCTAGTGTTATACAGTGGCTTGCGAAAGTATTCACCCCCTTGGCATTTTTCCTATTTTGTAGAGCCACCTTTTGCAGCAATTACAGCTGCACGTCTCTTGGGGTATGTCTCTATAAGCTTGGCACATCTAGCCACTACGATTTTTCCCATTCTTCAAGGCAAAACTGCTCCAGCTCCTTGAAGTTCGATGGGTTCCGCTGGTGTACAGCAATCTTTAAGTCATACCACATATTCTCAGTCTCAATTCTTTGGAAGACTGAAACAGGTTTCCCTCAAGAATTTCCCTGTATTTAGTGCCATCCACCATTCCTTCAATTCTGACCAGTTTCCCAGTCCCTGCCGATGAAAAACATTGGTGTTCTCGGGGTGATGAGAGGTGTTGGGTTTGCGCCAGACATAGCGTTTTCCTTGATGGCCAAAAAGCTCTTCCATATGTTTGGGGAGTCTCCCACATGCCTTTTGGCGAACACCAAACATGTTTGCTTATTTTGTTCTTTAAGCAATGGCTTTTTTCTGGCCACTCTTCCATAAAGCCCAGCTTTGTGGAGTGTACGGCTTAAAGTGGTCCTATGGACAGGAACTCCAATCTCCGCTGTGGAGCTTTGCAGCTCCTTCAGGGTTATCTTTGGTATCTTTGTTGCCTCTCTGATTAATGCCCTCCTTGCCTGGTCTGTGAGTTTTGGTGGGCGGCCCTCTCTTGGCAGGTTTGTTGTGGTGCCATATTTTTTCCATTTCTTAATAATGGATTTAATGGTGCTCCATGGGATGTTCAAAGTTTCTGATATTTTTTTAGAACCCAACCCTGATCTGTACTTCTCCACAACTTTGTCCCTGACCTGTTTGGAGAGCTCCTTGGTCTTCATGGTGCCGCTTGCCTGGTGGTGCCCCTTGCTTAGTGGTGTTGCAGACTCTGGGGCCTTTCAGAACAGGTGTATATATCCTGAGATCATGTGACAGATCATGTGACACTTAGATTGCACACAGGTGGACTTTATTTAACTAATTATGTGACTTCTGGAGGTAATTGGTTGCACTAGATCTTATTTAGGGGCTTCATAGCAAAGGGGGTGAATACATATGCACGCACCACTTTTCCATTATTTATTTTTTCGAATTTTTCGAAACAAGTAATTTTTTTTATTTCACTTAACCAATTTGGATTATTTTGTGTATGTCATATTACATGAGATCCAAATAAAAATCCATTTAAATTACAGGTTGTAATGCAACAAAATAGGAAAAACGCCAAGGGGGATGAATACTTTTGCAAGACACTGTAAATGCTAAAGATTTGGGGATGTATCAAGTGTATGCAGACGGGAAGAATATCGTATGCCAGCTGAGGTTATGCTGCAACTGTGATGGCGAACATGCACTCGAGTCCCTGGATTGCCCTGTTAGGGTGAAGGAGACAGAGGTGGCGAGAATAAGGGATGTCCGGCGTGTCTCCTTTTTTTGTGATCAACTGTTTTTTATTTAGTAATAATAATTGTCAGCAAACATGAATACATACACACAAAATGAAGAATGCGCTTCTGACAGAGAGATAAATGAAGTAAAGAGAAATCATTAAAAGTAAAACAAAAGGGAGACGGAGGGATATTTTCTGACAAATCACTGAGCTGTCTGTTCAAACGACTAGCACACAGCTCAAGCACCCATGCATACCCCACAAGACTTGCCACCAGGGGTCTCTTCACAGTCCCCAAGTCCAAAACAAACTATGGGAGGTGCAAAGTACTACACAGAGCCACGACTACATGGAACTCTATTCCACATCAAGTAATTCATGCAAGCAGTAAAATCAGATTTTTAAAAACAGATAAAACTACACCTTATGGAACAACATGGACTGTGAAGAGACACACTGGAACACACACGAATACGCACACACACGCTAGCACACACACTCCACCCACATGCATTGTAATATTGTTGTATGGTGGGATTATAAATGTTGTATTGTAGATATGTAGTGGTGTAATAATGTTATATGACGCACCGTTTTTTTGTGTGTGTGTGATGTGCCTTAATGTGTTTGAACCCCAGGTAGAGTAGCTGCTAATGGGGATCCCTAATAACATACAAAAATGTAATGTCATTAATATGATTGTGGGCTACGTATCACTACAGTTCATATCAGGCTTTACTGTAATATGAGTAGTATTTCAATTTCAATTTCAATTTTCTTACATTAATATATGAAGAATGTTTAATATATATATATATACAGTGAGGGGGAAAAGTATTTGATCCCCTGCTGATGTGGTACGTTTGCCCACTGACAAAGAAATGATCAGTCTATAATTTTAATTAGGTTTATAAGTAGGTTTATTTGAACATTGAGAGACAGAATAACAACAACAAAAATCCAGAAAAACGCATGTAAAAAATGTTATGAATTGATTTGCATTTTAATGAGGGAAATAAGTATTTGACCCCTCTGCAAAACATGACTTAGTGGCAAAACCCTTGTTGGCAATCACAGAGGTCAGA